TGTGTTGTTTTTGTCTCAGTGTGTTGACTTCATTGCTTCTCGTCATCTAGGTGGTTAAGGTGTTTGTAATCATTTTCATTTTTGGCTAATTATACTTTTGTATCCACTTTTGTTTGGGGTATCATTTCTGTCATAAGTCTAATTCGTTGTACGGAGTAACATTCAGTAGGGTAGAGCCATTTATCAAGCAAGCATGTATACTGTTATGACCAATATCCATTTCCAGCCTTTTTAATCATATTGATCTCCTTTGACTTGCTATTGAATTATTTCACAAATATGGTTAGGTATTCCTATCATTATTGCAATTCATTGGAAACTAATATGCTTCATAAGCATTTCCTACTACTGAGGAGGGTGGGTGTTTTAATCCATCTATTTAGTAATAAGTGACAGTCATCCAAAGATGAATAAATAAGCAATCATTTCAGGTATATCACTGAATCCAGACATAGTTGAAGCATTGGTATTCCAAAAGTTCAAGTCAAAAGAAATATCTTCAACCTTTGTCTATTTTCGTTAAACTGTGACATTCGTTAAACGAATGTATACAGCCTAGTGGATGACTTCTTTGAGAAGAAAACGTTTCTGTCACTGAAGCCGTCTTTTTGTTTAAATCTTCTACATATAATATGTGTTACAGGATTCTACATTCTCCAGGGGTAATCTCTAACAATTTGTTATAACTGTAGAGCTTGAAGATGTTAGTGAAAAGAATTGTTCCTTTACATTATTCTTGTTCTAAATTCCTTAACTTTTCAATAGTTTTATTCAATAGTACCAACTATTGTTGGTAATATGGAAGTAGATCGAAGTTAGAAGTGTGTTTGAAAGTATCCAATGGTACAATTGTAATAAATGAAATCATGAGGTGTGTTAATTGGAACTCATTTACCCAGTAATTAGCCACGAGCTTAACTCAATATACGAGTGCTGATGATACTCACCAACAGCGCAAACTGAAGTAGATGCAACGAGATGCGGACCCCAAACCACTAACTGGAAACTGAGCGTTTTGAACCAAGTTTCCAACAAGGTGTGCACTAGCTTGAACTTAACTTCACGTAGATACTACTGCAATCTGATCTTCTGACTGACTGAGTCTCAAAATAGATTTTTGCATAGAATTGTAGCAGTTAAAGTTGCAAGATTTCATGCAGTCCACAAAGTCAGAAAAAAAAGATACGGAAGGACTATAATAAGCAGAAATGTGAGATAGAAGGTATAGTAACAGAGAGTAATTTGAGAATTTAATGGATATCGGAGATCACTGAGAATGAATGCATCTGTGTCACTGAGAACGATTTTGAGCCATATCACCGATTGTCGCCAGCCTTCATTGGTTCTTACCATCCCGAACACTCCAAACAGGTAATCAAAACCTTCTAACTTGATTGGCTCAAACTAACTGTCAAATATTATATGGTCTGTAAATCTGTCTGTTTTCAACATAGAACTTTGCACTGATGTGCAGCAGTTCAAGTCGCCACACTCCCTCCTTGTAGCACACAAAGCAAGAGAAGAAAGTAGAAGAAATGCATAACAGAGACAGTAGACAGGGATATGAGACAAAGGAATAGTAATATATGATAGCTGCACATAATTACTACACATAGACACCGGATCTAACAGATGAAAGCCCTGAGTAAATCCAAAACACATTCTCTGAGAGTTTGCTCAAAGACACTCTTCCAAAGATTTATGAGCAGCCTATTGTCAAACTTGTTTAATGGTTCTTAAAAAAGAAACATCAGTATAGTTTATATGAAGCCACACACCCCCGCCGCACCCGCAAAGGTGACGCAGATGTTGTAATTACTCAGTATGAAGTCATGCAGATGGCAGTTTAGTCTCTGACATGCTGTCCTGTTCGTTATGACTGCTTTCACAGTAGTTTAGCTGTTGTGTGTAGTTTAAATTTTCTAGTACACATGTTAAAGTTGTTGACATACTCAACTATCCCATCATCTTATTACCTTGGAGTTTATCATCGGACAGACATTCAGATTCTAATAATTAAGGCTTGACGCTGATATCAAGAACGCCTTATATTTCCATGATAACCATAGCGACTAGATCTAGTTTACCTAATAATACGTAAAGTTTCTAAAACTTTGAACAGATCAAGGTGAAGATACATTTGCAGAATAATTAGAACTCATTTCACTTCACGGTATTTTTTCCCCAGCTTCTGTAACTGTCTGAAAATCACAAAAGTTATTGTAAATAACTCCTTAATGGCTGGGAGACATAACCAGTGTAAGTGGAAGATATGAAAAGGCTAGATGTATCCGACCATAGATGTTTACGTTCTATCTCCTGTGTTAAGTGGTGTAATATGATGATTAATGTTGAGGTTATGTGTAGACTGTTAGGTAAGAAGAGTGAAGCTACCTACATTGATTGACACGAGTGGAATATAGGGTTTCGACCTTGGGCTTTGAAGTTCCAGTAGCTATAGGGTGTTTTACGAGATGAGATTGCTAGCCAGCCACACATTCAACCTCTTTTCTTCATCGAGCTTACTGTCAGCTAACTGAGGTTTGGGTGGCAAGTATTCTACCATTGAACCTCGGATACACAATGAGTTAGTTGTGATCAAATCAAAATCTGGCATCAAACTATTAATTCTTTGACTGTTAATTTGAGTAGGTCACATAAGGAATTATAGACTGTCTGATTGAGATCCCCCCAGGACACCAAGCAACCAGTAGCCTAAAGACTGTTGGTAAAAATGGCTGAAAACTGTTCTCAACAATGGTGAAGATGCATTCACTCTTTGTGAATAGAAATGGGGAACAGGGAATGAAGTGGTAGAGGACGTTGACCGCTTCACTTACTTGGGAAGTATCATCAGCCCCAATGGGTTGATCTCTGACGAAATCTCAGTACAGATACAGAGGGCTACTTTCGCATATGCCAATTTACAACGTCTCTGGCTTAGATGTGATATCCGGCTGGCTATCGACCAAAGGGCAGGTGTACTTCTCAGCAGTCCGCTCCGTCCTCCTTTATGGATGTGACACCTGGCCATTGAGATTGGAAGACATGAGAAGGCTAGGTGTCTTTGATCATAGGTGCTTGCGTTCTGTCTCCCGTGTGAAGTGGTATAATAGGGTAAGCAATATTGAGGTTAGTCATCGGTCGAGTGCCAGGTAGGTGGGAGGGAAAATCAATCGACGAGGCTGTGAAGTTACATCGATTGACATGGTTAGGACATGTGTTACGTATTCCTAGTCATCGCTTTCCTCGATGGGCAATGTTAGCTGACATAGGGTCAGACTGGAAAAGAGCTAGTGGCGGTCAAACCAAAACATGATTCATCAGTCAATGAAATCCACAACAGTTAGTTTAAGCCAGCCAGTCACGTAGGAAGGTGTAGACTTCCTGGTTATGGTGTTCGGGACGGTAAAAACCAATGGCTGGAAACAATTGGTGACATAGCTCAAAATCGTTCTCAATGGCTAACGCAGATGCATCCACTCCTTGTGACTTATGGTTTCAAATGAAACTATATTGTTCTTCGTTATTACTATTCCTTTTGTCTCATGTCCCTGTTTACTGTCTCTAATATGCATTTCTTCTACTTTCTTCTGTTGCTTTGTGTGCTACATGGAGGGAGTGTGGCGGCTTGAACTGCCGCACATATGTGCAAAGTTCTATGTTGAAAACAGACAGACAGACAGACTCACTCTTTGTGATCTACCCTATTCACTAAACTCTCATGCTATTCTGTGTTACTATTCTTTCTCCCTATACACTTCTGCTCATTATATTTCTTTTGAATTTCTTTTCTGTCTCTCTCTCTCTTCCCCTTTTTTTCTTTACCTTTCTGGGGTACGTGGAATGTTGCAGCTGGAACTGATGCACTGATTCGCTAAGTTCTGTGTCGAAACTCAATCAGGCAGATATATGGTAGAGCCGTAACCGGCACAAAAGACTATCTTCTAGTGTTGGTTTGTGCGGATTTGATTGATTGGTTACAGGATTTTAATCATGAGCTGACATCAGTTAGAGAACCATTGGAAAACCTGCCAGGGAGTACTGGACAACCAGCTTTTTCCTCGGCCTAGTTTGGGACTCTTCATCAGTACGTACCCACCACAGGGGATTTTGAACCCAGGACCCTCCGGTTACAAGGTAAGCTAGCTCGTAGACCATTAAGCCACTTGGGACCCGATCCAATGCCCAGCCAACCCATGAATTCTAACTTCTGTCATTTAACGTCGTAGCGCGGCCACTAGTGAATGTCATCGGTGGCGAGTCATACAAACAGTGTAATAAGAGAATGCGGTATGATTAAATTCGGTATACATTCTGAAACTTGTAACCTCATAAGAAGAAGAAATACATTTCTGTCACTATAAACAGCATCCACTCATGATCTCACTCCAGAGAATCGAACCCAGGAACTTCAGCTTACGAGGCGTTGGATGTGAAGACAAGTACTCGGTAGTGACGTTGACTGGCGGTGGCACGCTGCTTATCACAAATTGACAGAAGTTAAGATTCATGGTCACTGGATTTCGTTCTAGTAACTCCTTACGTGGGTGAGTACTCACTGAAGAGTCCTAAACCAGGACGAAACAGACCCCCCCAGTAAGTACCCTATATTCCTCGAGCTGATATTAATCCGTCACTCAAAAGTGTTATTTTTCTTCCCAGCTAAATGTATGTATATCTATCTGTCTATATATCCATCCTTCTATTTTGTTGTTATTGTTTCTTTTCCAGTGGTGATCTTCCTGAAACCCTGGATGCTTTCTATAAATCAGATCCAGATAGTTTTACCTTCCCAAGTATTCCAGATCCTGATGATGATAATGGTGAACACCAGCAACAACCAGCAACAATTGTACGACAGACGGCACTGTTAAAAAATACTAAAGCACCAAAACCACTTGACAAGTCGAAAAAAGAAGCTGAATTAGAAGCGAGATATGATGTATGGAATAAAGGGTAAGTGTGTTATCTTCAATCGTGTTAACCTTGCGTTATAGCATTAAAACATTAGAAGAAACATACAACAAATTAAAAGAACAAGAATATGAAAGTTCTAAACCCCTGGCAAGATATGCTGATGATAAAGATCTTACAGAACACTTGAAGTCGCAAATACACGCCGAGGATCCTATGGCTCAGTATTTTGCGAAGAAAAAGAAGAAGAAGAAACATGGCAAGAAAAAGCATAAAGGTATGTAAAGCGGAGGCAGTATGCTTTCTCTCTCTCTCTCCTCTGCTCTCTCTCCCCTCTAAAATATATACATTGTAGTGGAGTGGTGTCTAAAGACGATGGAGACAATTTACTGTCTGGGTTACTCTCTGGGAACGAGAGATAGATCCGTTACGCTGGCGGAAGTCATTGATTATCCCAGTATAACAGGAAGAGGGAGATAAGTCTTACTGTAGTAACTAGAGGGGAATTAGCTTGACTAATATGGTAATAATAAAGGTTTTTTGTATTTCCCAATGAATGAAAAACAAGACGATATTGTGGTGTTTACTGACGTTTCGCTATTTAGTGCTGCTAATAGCTTTATCAAAGTATTATTAAACCGGAATTTACAAAATCTCAGCATATATATAACAAAGAGTTAAGAGGTGAGAAAATCGACTACTTAGGTCAAGTTAAGGGGACATATTGAAAGTCAAAATAGCAATGAAGATCACTAAACCAAATAACAAAGGTAATAGTACATCTGTTATGGTATCAAAACAAAGTTTACTAACTTGATCATCGTTCGTCTGGCTGGGGGCATTTTTCGTTGTCAAATTGGCCAACTGGTAAAGATAACAAAACCAAGTGTAGATTGTTGGATTTGATCAGTGTGTAAAATTATCAAACAGCGTGTGTTTATATAATGATACTGCTTATCACATTCGTGTTGATTTTGTCACTTCATGGGGGAGGCAGGCGGGTGTTGTAACCAGGTCAAATTCTGTTTTAGTCCATCATTCCTATTCAGGCAATTTGGATTCCACTTGATATGAAGTGCTTCTGATGTTATATTGTTATTTTGACTTTCAAAATATGTCACCTCCAAACTCCTTGTTGTATATGTGCTGGGATTTTGTAAATTGTGGTTTAATAATACTTTGATAAAGCTACTAGCATTAAATAGCGAAACTTCAGTAAACACCACAATATCGTTTTGTTTTTCATTCATCGGGAAATACAAAAGCCTTTATTATAATGAATATCATATAACCAATGCCCAAATTTTTTCAAACTGTTAAAAGTGAACTTGGTTTGGACATATATGACTAATCTAAAGTTATAGTCTCAATAATCATGCGTAGATAAAGTGTGGTGCTCGGGAGAAACAAACACGAGAAGATGAAGGAGGCAATAGACCAGAAATAGGTTGTATTGGTTATATCTTCACCTTCCCACCGATTCTGGAAAATAGGCATACTTACTGTTGGCGTCCAACAATCGTGATATTAGTTGATGTGAACGCCTCATTTGATTCCATCGACCGAGAGGTGCTATGGCGATGCTTGGCTGTAAAGGGAATGCCAAGAAAATAAGTTGCACTGATCAAGTCACCCACTCTACTCGAACTCATGCAGCTATTCAGGTAAGAGACTACGGAGAGTTGTCATCTGAAGTGGGTATCCGTCATGGATATTCACTGTCCCCATTTCTTTTTAATTTCATCATAGATACTTTAGTAATCGACTTAACCTTAACTGGCTTCAGTGACTCAGGGATTGACTTGTTACCACCATGGAATTATAGTCTCGTTGACTTGGAATATACGGAATGCAGAGTCTTGCGAACACCTTGAGGAGCAACAATCTTCGAATGTTTGGCATTAGATTCGCTCCCCTTGTCAAATGTAAGATGATCCTAGTGGACTGGACTGGACTACATTGACCCACTCCCAGCTTAAAGATAGGAAGGTAGTGTGTGTTGACCACTTCACTTATTTGGGGAGTTGTATTAGCCAGTGCCAGCGGGCTTATCGCTGATGAAATCTCACACCTTAGATATAGAAGGCTCGTACTGCATACGCCATCTGTGACGTAGGTGTGATATCCGGCTGGTTGTCGACCAATGGGAGTGTGTACTGCTCAGCATTTCACTCTGTTCTCCTTTATGGCTGGCTGTGAGACATGGATAGTTGTCTGCATTTTATCTAAATCCCGTTTTAGGTGGTATAATAGGGCGAGCAATATTGAGGTTAGGCGTTAATTGAGTGGTAGGTAAGGATGAGGATATCAATCAGTGACGAGGTTGTGAATTAACATCCTTTTGAGATGGTTAGGGCATGTGTTACGCATGCTCAGCCCAGCCTAGCCATCGCCCTCCTCGACGGGCAATGTTGGCTGACTGACATGAGATGGATCCTGTTGGAAAAGAGCTAGCATGTGGTGGTCAAACGAAAACATGGATTCATCAGTCAATGAAATCCACAACAGTTAGTTTAAGCCAGCTAGCCAGCCACATAGGGAGGTGTATACTATCTGCTTACCTGGTTGGAGTCTTCAGGATGGTAAAAACCAATGACTGAGGACAACTGATAATGTAGCCCGAGATCATTATCAATTAATGGTGGCAGATGCATTCATTATTTATGATTTATCTAATCCAATAAAGCCCTATTGTTCTTCCATACTACTACTATTCTTTTTCCCTCACTCATATTTCTGTTTATTATCTCTTTTGAATCTCTCTTTACTCTCTTCTCTTGTTTTGTGTGCTACTTGAAGGGGGGGGGCGGCAACTGGAACTGGTGCATATCAGTGCGAGGTTCTACGTTGAAACTAGTTTGTCGGTCTATCAATGATTGTATCATTGATGTTGGTTTGTGATGGAAATCGATCTTCAATTCATTAATGGCTACTGGTTGGAATTCCTGAAGCTGTGCAATAGACGAAGTCACGATCAGTGTGCTGCACTATGTCACGATAGTGAGGTGGATAGTAATCGAAGGTGCATTGGTTTGGGGGATAACGGTGTATTTTTTCAAATCATGGAAAGTACTCATCAGGACATTATAGCGAAAAGAACAAGAGGCTCAACAAATAAATATCTTTTCTGTGATATCATTCTCATAAAGCAGCTGTACAATCGCGTTTATACACATACAATGGCTATTTAATTTCACATAGTAACGAAGGAGCCGCCTACTGCTTCTAAGCAATGTGAAGTATAGACTTCCACATAATATGACCATTTCAATGTGCATATATTATAGTTCAACTGCTCGTGTGGAGTTAGGTACGTAGGTTGTTCGATGTGAGTCTTATCAAAGCGTGTTAGAGAACATTACCCAGCATGGTTGCAAAGAGGGAGGCACTGGTTCAATCAGAAGCGCTATAATTATGGACACCTCGTCAACATACCTGTCACAGCATCTCAAGTGACTTATCCATCATTCAGATTGATTCACAAAATCGACAAAAATCTACCAAATGCAGTTTGTTTCTGACTTCTTTTTACTACAGAAGAAGCCCTCATCATATGCGTTGAAAAGCCGGAGCTGTGTTTAGAAGAAACTAATCTAACCTCTATAGTTTATCTTGTATCTATTTCGGTTTTTTCCTTAGGTCTCGTTTTTTCTCGTCCCCTTAATTATTTTTCTTTCATTTTCAGTTATAAAAAAATGTTATTTCATTTAGTCTCTATGCTCATCCCATTCATTCAAAAATTATTTTCTAATCCTGTATAATTTTGTTCTCAAGCCACAATCCACCTCAATCCACACCTTCGAACTTTCATATCAAGTTGGCCATTATTATTTCAGTTATGAAAAAACAAACTGTTATCTCAATTTTTTTCTATGCTCATCCTGTTCACACTCATATTCGTTAAAAAACCAACAAAAACTATTTGACATATAATACAACTTTTTCAAGAATTACTTTGTAGGGATTCTACTTGTTTCAGTTCGAACCACGGATTGATATCAGTTAGAGAATCATTGAAAACCAGCACTGGAGTACTGGATAGCTGGTTGTTTTTTCCTAGTTCGGGACTTATCGGCAGTATGCGCCCACCACAAGGGTTCGAACCCAGGACCTTCTGGTTACAGCTGGCGACTCATGTACACTCAGCCACTGTAACGGCAGAAGACAAGGGCCAGGCAACAGATCGTTTATTGAGAAAATTAAGATATTTATAGATTTTTATGTATATTACTATTCGTATTGTTAGCAGAGAGGTAAAGTCTTCTGATTGGTTGTTTTCCCGCTAAAGGTTATTCTGTCATCTCTTTGTTGCCGTTCCTTAGGCAGTCCTTTGATATATCTGGTCATCGTATCCGCCCACACTAAGTCTGCTGTGATTGACTGTTGAGTTAGCCTTTGTTATTGTTTTTTGCTCATGACCAAGATTTGGGACGTAAACACTGACGTGAAATGCTGTCTTCCAATTTTGGCTAGCAGACAGCTCTTACCACACCCCTAGGACCTGACTCATTGGCCAGCCCATGAATTCTAACCTCTACGTGTTACCGAATCGGGTCTCAGTGGCTGAATAATACGCGAGCTTGCCTTGTAACCAGAAGGTCCTGGGTTCGAACCCACGTGGTGGGTGCGTACTGATGATGAGCCCCACTCTAGGACAAAACAGCCAGCTATCCAGTACCCCAGTGCTGGTTTTCATTGGTTCTCTAACTGATATCAATCCGTAGTCTAACCTGATATAACGCAACTATTTTGTAATATTGTGTAATTTTGTTTCTACGCGCCATGTAATCTATATTCACACCTTCAAACTTTCAAGTCAACTTGAAAATTATTATCACCTTTAATCTGCACCTTCGTCACTACGTGGAATTAAATAATCATTGTATCTATGTGAATTTATTTGTATATAAAAATGTGATTGTACAGCTTCTTTTGAGAATGAAATCACCGAAAAGATGGTTGTCTTTGCTGAACTTCTTGTTCTCTTTTACTATAATAATGCTGTCTGACGAGTTAAGAGAAGTTAGATTTCACGGGACATTGGATTCTAGTCTCCCCCCCCCCGTCCCGAAGTGGCTCAATGGTCAAAGAGTTTGATCTTATGACCTGAAAGTCCCGGGTTCAATCCCTGACAGTGAGACCGAGGGTATGCACTGCTGAAGAACCTCCAGCTAGCAGAGCGAAACAGCTGATGTTCTGTTCATGACGAAATCTGACAATTGAAATTGATCCAAATTTCTACGAAACCCTATAATATAAATATATTTATTTGTCAATTTCTTGATTATTTGATCCTACACAGGTTCCGATGGTGGATCTCATTCAGAGGGTTCAGAGAATAGTGATGATGATGATGATGACGAAGAAGACAGTCGACCACGTTATCAAGGACCTGAACCACCGCCAAATCGTTATGGTATTCAACCAGGTTATCGATGGGATGGTGTAGATCGTAGTAATGGTTTTGAGAAGAAAATAGTTGAAGATCAAACAAGACGTCGTGTGGAACGAGAAGCAGCTCAGCGTTGGGCAATGGAAGATATGTGAGAAGCTACTACTACTACTACTATTTCATCACCTTCTGTTTTCTTCTTCTTTTATCGCGTTATCCGCGAATATTGTGTACAAATTGTAAATTTGATAAATATATACATATATATTTTTTGTCTTTAATTCAATTTGAACGTTACCGTTGATTGATTGGACCGAAGTGCTCGGTCTCAGATTGACATGTCTGTCTCCTTGTATAGATGCTTCGACGATGTTTGATTATTTAACTTGAAGTAAATTGGGGGGGGGGCATGGTGACTATCAATGGAATCTAGGATAACGCGGATTTCGTCCTATTTTGAACTCATCAGCTACTGGATGTACCTGCACTTCCCAGTGAGTCAGTGATGGGGCTCGAACCCAGTACCCATCGTTTCAAACACATTAAAGCGTTATCCACTAGACCACTTGGGCCACAATAGACACTTCTTGTGCAACGGGTATGGGTAATTATTGAATTCAATTTGGATTTCCTCGTTATGGTGGCTCTTATGGCTACTGGTGTAACAACAAAGGACAAGGGCCAGGCAACAGGTTGTTTATTAATGAAATCAACACATATTTATAGATTTTCATGTACATTATTATCGATTATTTTAAGGAAATAAGCACAGTCTTCTGATTGGTGGTTTCTCGCTGAACGTTAATCTTTCATCTCTTTGTGGCCGCTTCTTGAAGTTCAGATTATCTTATCTGCAAATTGTATCCGCCTACGCAAAGTTTGCTGTGATTGGTTGTTGAGTCAGTCTTTGTTCTTATTTTTCTCATGACCAATATTGGGGACGTAAACATTGACGTAAATTACTGTCTACCACTTTTGGCTAGCAGCCAGCTCTCACCACACTGGCGGTGACAAAGAGCCTTAAAAAATACCCCTATTCAATTTATGACTGTTCCTGCAATTATGAGTACTAATTGTCGCTCCCTGCCAGCCAAGATTAACTGTCTTCAATCACTCGTGTCTTCCATTATATATCGGAATACTGGGATCATATCACTTCAAGAAACATGGCTACATGATCTTTACGATGACAATCTAGTGTATCCGCATGATTTCAAATTATTCAGACAAGATCGGTGTAGTTCTAGGAAGAAACGTGGTGGCGCTGTCGCCATCTTCATCAATTTGCAATGGTGTACATCTAATAAAGTATGTTTCAAATTCTCTAGTGACTGCCTCACCGTTAAATGTCGACCTAAACATTTGTCAAAATATAACTACATATACATCTCGAACATTTATATTGCGCCTGGATGCAATTCCACTGAATTGTCTTTATTTGCGGACGAATTTACCTCCTTTGCTGCCACCTCCTTCAGAAACTCCTTGTCTATAGTTACTGGAGATTTCAATTCTAGTGATCACAGTTTCCTTATTTCACTTGGTCATGATAACATTGTCAACTTCCCGACTCAAATGAAAAATACTCTAGATCTTGTGTTTAAAAATGACATAGGAATATTTGAAGCTCGGAAAAGAGCCCCACTACTTAATTCGGATCACTGTGCTCACATGGTCCCACTATCATTGATGGCATAGAGGTTGAAATTACATCTAATGTCAAGTACCTTGGACGTAATATTTCCTCCGATCTTTCCTGGTCCTCTCACACCTTGCTAGTTACTAGAAAGATGTTTCGCTTAACGTTCTACGTTAGGAAGTTAAGGCAGTCTGGTATAAAGCAGTCTTTGCTTTCTCAGTTTGTCAACTCTTATATTCTAACCATCCCTCTTTACTGCTCCCCATTAATCTTTCCTGGACTACTTAAGAAAGATTTTGCTTCGCTGCGTAGGGCACTAAAAGCTGTTAGTAGGGCAAGTGGGATTTCGTTAAACCAACTGGTTAACACCATTGTGGATAGACATATAATGTCATGTAAGAAACTAGCGAATACTATATTGTCAGACCCCTAGCATCCTCTCTATACGCAGCTCTCTCCTTGCATTTCATCTGGTAGAACTAGAAGCAACTATAGGAGGCTATATGCCAGGACTACCAAGTACAAAAACTCCACAATACCTTATCTGGAACAGCTGTTATGTTATGAGAAAACTGTTAGGCATGACACGATCAACTTACTGCGGCACTCTAACAAATAGTTCCCATTAGCTTTTGTTCTCCTTTCTTTATTACTATTATATTGTTGCTAACATCTTCTATTACACACTAATTTTATATTTCATATCCTGTGGTGCATTGTTTAAAATGTGAATGCAACGCTGTTCTTTTTTATTTATTTATTTTGATTGTTGCTTTTTGACTTTAAAATCTTATAAAATTAATGAGGTAATCAGAAGCAATATTGTAATGCACGCTGAAAATTCCATACATGTACCACAAATACTGTTTGGAATAAAGCTATTATTATTATTTTAAGCTTCAGTGGGAACATCATCATTCACTGAGGAACAGGCATATCCATATGACGAGTCTCAAATGGGACGAAATGCGCATCTTGGTGGATTCTACTGCTAGTCACCAACCAACCAATTTACTTCAAATAATTTTCCCTATTTGTAATTTTTTCTCATATGTTTTGCTTGTCTCCTCAAAGTTTGTATAAGTTTTTACCAAGTGATTTTGGCATGCGTTAAACACATGGACTATCCATGCATGGGTCTTTGTGTCCTTAGACTGCTCTCAATCTATCTACCCTTGTGTCTGTCAAACAAACTAGCTCTTTCCCTTTTTCTAACAGTCTTACAACTTGCTAACTAAATTGTTTAGAAAACATCAGCATCTGCCAATTCCGTGTTCTTTCACAAGTGAAACATTAGTCAGTCTGCTTTGTTCTTGATCGAATTGTTGACATCTACTTCTGTGCTTCTTTAATTTGTCATCGATGTAATGACTTGATATTCATTGATTGCTGGTGTGTGTATGTGTGACTGTCGATCTCATCTAATGTCTTGTGTTTGACACCAGTTCATCTATATCCATTGGTCGAACTGTATTCACTAACTTCAGCTGATGGACAGTAACATTAAAGATGCATGCGATAAACTGAGGAAAACTAGCATGTGCGTTGTTTATAACTCTTGTAACCGAATATTTTCCATTGTTAATACTGCTAAAACCAAGTGGATCTTCATCTGCACGAAGACCTGGGCTGCTGTTGTCTGTCTAAGGGCATGTCGGACTTCGAAACTAACCTCATTCGGCGACGACCTCAAGACGACCAGTTTCGCCTTTTACTCCTGCACGCCGACTAGGTGCACTACAGCTTTCGAGTTCATTGGGAACATCCTCTTGTCTCCCACTTCGAAGGCCTGCAGTCACAGGGCTTTCAAATGCCACAGAGTCAACGACACCGGTTGAACTGAGGCCATAAGTAATGTTTTATTGTGATAAAATACTACATTTTATTATTGTTCCCCTGGTTTCCGAGTGAGAAATGGGACTTCAACAAAACATCTCCACTTTGTTCTATTTTCTGCCGTCCTGTTTAACTGGGTCCACGATTGCCCATAATCTCTCATCTCCTCCTCGCCACACGGTCTCCTCCATGTAACTCTCGAACTGGCGACCCACTCGTCGCTTCCCAATGGGATTTCACTCGAGCTATGGCCTGCATTGCGCACGGTCATTCGATGGTTTCCTCCCGATCCATCTTGGCTCTTGGTTGGCTTGTTCCCAGCGTTTCTTGTTGCTAGTACTTTCCGACCAAACATAAGATCGTCAGTATAGAGCCAGTCAGCGAAGGTGGCAGCTGTTGATAAAAGTCTGCAGTAACCTGTTGGAAACCCTTTTTGTGACACTGTGGCCAATTTTCTGACCCGTATAGAAAAACTGACTGACTTCACATTTTTGTTGGAAATCCGAATCCTGTTCCTTATGCTGAGGTGGAGTGCAGAAGATTTCCAAACTGGTTTCAGGTTGATGAAGGCGTATCTTACCCTTCTAATTCTAGCTGGCTGGCTTTGACATCTTCATCCCTGTCACCGGCCTCTCGTTAAAGCCGTGCTTCCTGACTGGGTAAGTGAAGGCAGTAACCTCTTTCAAATCTCTCCCGTTGGTGGTGATTGGTGCTGGTTGTTGTTGGTGGTGGTGGTCGGTGGGTATCTTCATCATCTCCGTCTTCTCTATATTCACCTGGAGGTCTGTCTTCACTGGCAGCCTCTTGAGCCAGTTTGTTAGCTTTCGCGTATAAGTCTTCAAGTTTGCATATGTGTGTGACATTAAACATAAAGTATCCTCAAAATCCAGGTCTTTCATAGTTCTCGTATCGGTCTGCCGTATTCCCGTCTTCTTTCTACCCACAGTCTTCCATATAATTAAGTCCACCTCAATTAGTCATATCATCTGTGACATTAGACAAACTCTTCTTACTCCTGTATTCACTTCAAAAGCTTCTTGGAGTCTTCCTTTGGGGATCATCTGACACGTGGCATTGTCATATGGCTGCTGAATAAGGCTGATAAAGATTTGGGGCACTGTACTCCATAGTGTTGAAGTGGTTTCCGAATAACTTCTCTGTCAACGCTGTCTGTCTGTCATTCTATATTCTGGTTGATGATGATGCATAGAGTTCCTATTTGATCCCCACACGAATTGACTTTCCTGTTTTGTACAAGAACATTTCCGATGAATCAACCAACATATATTATTATTATTATTGTTCCCTTAGGTTCCTAGTGGAACAAAGGGCTTCAACTACGGATCTCCACTTGCTTCTGTCTTCTGCTGTACTTTTCGCCTGCATCCATGTTAATCCATACTGTTTCAACTCCTCTTTACACGATCTCCTCCATGTCACCCTTGCACTGACGTCCCACTCGCCGCTTCCCTTTCGGGTTCCACTCGAGCGTTGGCCTGACGCGCGATGTCACCCAGCGGCCTCCTCAGCGAGTGTCCAATCCATCTCCACTTTCTCCTGCATATTTGTTGGGCGATTGGTTCTTGTTTTGTTTGTTTGTTCCCATAGTTTCTTGTTGGTGATTCTTTCCGGCCATCTGATTTGAGTATAGAACGAAGACAGTTGTTATTGATAAAGGTCTGCAACAGGCTGTTGGAAATATTCTTTGTGACCCGCTGCCAAGTTTCTGATCCGTATAGAAGAACTGACTTGACGTTTGTATTGAAAATCCGATTTTTGTTGTTGATGCTGGCTGAGT